TTCACAGTTCAACTATGCTTTTTTCAGCTTCTGCTTTGCTGTTTGACTAGGACTTAGCTACGATTCCCCTTGTTTGGTTGGGAAAACTACAGGAAAGGGAGGGAATCTAAAATTTGAAGAATTTCACTGATTCTCTAAATCTGTAGTTAGTTTCTGGGATTATTAATTAAATCAAAGCTTTCCCCCAGAATTTATTCTAAATAAGAGATATTAATTTACAAGGTTTCAATTCCTTTCTCTTTCAAGCAACCAAGCAGCTTGCTTATTAATCAGTCAATTTCTCTTACAAGTTGTTTAGTTATTGTTTTCTTCATGTTAATCTCTTTTTAACACATTGGCTTCACTCATGCCTGCCAGATTTTTACCAGCAACTGATGGAGAACATTGGAGGTAGTTCTTTCCAAGAAATAGAAGATTAGAGAGCTTCCTCCATACAAATTCTGTCCCAAATGTAAGGGAAACTTGGAAAAATTCAGGGAAGGAAGTAGCAGTGCAGAGGCCTCTGAAAGATGTTTATGTTGATGATGATGGAGGGACATCGGCATTGATATCTTGTTTGAGGATCGTCACCTGTTTTGTTAAAATGATGGTTACAACATTCATCTGGGCGTTGATTATGCTTGTGCTCCTGCCCTGATCTTACCAGAGAGTCCGGCAAGGAAATATCTATTGCCATGTGACTGGTAGATTGATGGTATGCATTTCTTGATTACTAGAAAATTTGGAAGTAGATTCTTTTGGTATTTGGTCTTTTAAAACATTTTATGAACATGAAAGGAAATCAGTTGGTGCGTTTAGTTGTTTCTGAATTTCTTGTGGTTGCTGATAAGCATGAGGGAAAAAACAAAGAAAGAAAAGGAATTGGGGAAACTCTGAAACTTTACCTTTTTTTGCTTCATTTATTGGAAAGCCATATCTACATGGACAAAAGTACAAGTTCATTTGTCTGCTGTTTCAGGGAATATTTAAGGATTTCTTCTTACCCCAGCAATCAAAAGTTTCCTCCTTTTTGACAAATTTTTTTTGCTATTTGTTTCACTTAAATTTCTCTTCATTTATTTTGGTAGCGGAAACATCTCAAGCAAATTTAAGAAGATGGTACATCCATCAGAAGATAAACTTTGAGAGTGTAGATATGTAGGTAATGTTCCCAGATATTTGGTCAAAGCTTGAAATTAATTTTGGTATGCTATCTCAAGAAGATTTATTGAGTTCAGAAAGTGCTCATTTATGTTTATTCTCCTTTCATTTATGTTATCCTGAAAAGAGATAAGATGGAGGGCGGCTCATGGATTGGGTGGTCCATTCGATGGTATTTGGATAGTGAAATGGAATAAAAAATTGGACATTGCTGCATTGGGAAGAAAAATGGTGACTTTAATGAAACCTAGGTGACATTTGATTTGGCGGCTTCATAGGAGTTGTTCAACCTCGGTTCTGACACCTAAAGAAAACTTATGATTTCAGAGTAAAATCCACAAACTGACGCAGAGCACTTGTACATAGTTAAGGTACTTTACAGTTGACACTGCAAATTGGAAGAATTGCACAACATAAAATTTTAAAGGAAAATTTGATTTGTGTAATATGTTCGTCTAAGTTTTGGATTTTTTGAAAGTGGAGGAGTCATCAACATTCTAAACATTAACATACAGATAGATGGTGATAGCCTAATATTGTTAAATTCAATAATGTTTAGGTCACTTTCCTATTAGATAATTGAAAATTTGAATGTTTATTGATTGTAGATGTGGATCTTAGGAAATCTAGTGAAGATTGAAGGAACTGAGTTCTCTAATAAGAGGGGTATATACATCAGTAATCATGCATATCCCATAGACATTTTCCTCATAATGTGGTTGACTCCAACAGGGGACTGTTGGTATTGCAAAGAAAGAGGTGAGTATTACCACTGTAATTTACGCATCCTAGATTTGCTCAAAGGCTTCAACTAGCAAGGTTTCCCTAGCAACCTGCTTTGCAAAATTGTACTACATCTTCTACATGCAATTAATGATGATCAATTAAACCACAAAGAATAAACATTTCTCATTTAATCAATGAATAAGAGTGTTGGAATTAATTAATAATAATAAATACTAGCTATTATCAAATCAAACAAAATTATTAATGGCTAATTTTAAAAAGTTATACCAAATAATACTCCCTAATTAGTGTAAAAAGTATGTGTTAATTACATTTTAATTTTAATTTGTGCTCTTAAAAAATAGAAAAA